GGAGGAGGAATATCAGGCAGCTTAAGTGATGTTTCCTCTTTGATAACAGCTGAGGAGAGCCGGCAGCTGGGAATGCTGGTGTCAGGTGTTGGTTTCAGACAGGGGGGGGGGTGGTGTTTATCGCTGGATTTACACCAGTCTGTGACAAGGGGAAGCAAATACCTGACCGTTAGCATTGTGTGTGTTTAACAGTTTGAACTCTGAGCGAGCCGAGCTGTCGGCTGCAACTCAAGAATTTTTAACAATTTGCAATAAAAACTGTGTTTTTATTTAAAAATCGACTGTTTTCACCGTTTTACAGCACATTGAATTCCCTCGATGTATGAAATGTGCTACATTTAAAGACACAGTGCAATATTTTTACTTTTTATTATCAAATTCTGTCTATCACAACTTCTCCTTTATACATCTCACCAAAGTCTGTTCTCAGTCGTCCTTTTAGCTTGAAATTTTACATAAACTGTGGTTGACGGTCCAGGTGCCATTCTAAAGTACAGTAGCTGTTTAGGCACATAAAAGATGCTCCTCTAACCGCATGTGATCGCTGGATTGAAAGCTGGAAGTCGTTTACAACTGTGGTCATGTGTGCACGGCCGCGGGGGAGAAGGAGACGAGGGACGTGGAAGACGCGGTAGATGCTGCAGCACCGGAGCGAGAAGACGCAGCTGCAGCAAACGACTGATCAGACCCGTTCTACAGAAATCCTCAGCACACGGGGCTCTGGACTCCCCAAGGGAGACGCTGACTGCAGGAAGCAACCGAGCAGCAGAAGGTGTTTTCTGTGTGACCCCTGAAGTAGCCGTCAGCGCCACAGTGTCTCCCTCTCCCCCGCGGCTGTGCGACACATTGCCTTTTTGATGCGTGTGGACTGCTGTCGTTGTAATGCCTACTCTGAACTGCGTGGAGCTCAAGACTCAAATGTTTTTACACCGTGAACTTTTCAGCTAAGTGCGGGGCTCGGATACGTTACTCGGAACTGGACAATGAATTAGGCTGACTCTAAATGTTCTTCAGATGAAGATAAACATCGTCTGTTTTCTCCCCCTTGTCGGGTCCGGGCAGAGGTGGAAAGAGTACTAAAATTTCCTGCTGAAGTACGAGTACCAATACTTTGATAATTTTTTACTCAAGTACAAGTAAAAGTACTTTTCTAAATTTTTACTCAAGTAAAAGTAAAAAGTATCGTAAATAAAATGTACTCAAAGTAAAAGTTACTTAGTTACATTTTTGTCAGTGTAAAGATGGTTACATGTAAGTAGTGCTAAACCATAACGCAGGTTCACAATTTGCGTGTGCGCACACACACACATACACACACACACACACACACACACACACACACACACACACACACACACACACACACACACACACACACTAGCACGTTAGAATCATGTGAATGACTAATTTAACTACACTGAACAGCTTTAGTAATACTTTAATCTCTTATTCTGGAGTAAAATAAAGAAACAAGCTAAATCATCACATATCTGTGGCATCAAGGAGCATCTTCTGAGTTCAAACACAGGGATGGAGCACAATGTTTACACCTGAACAGCGTCAGGATGTTTTAACTCACGGAGGCCTGCAGGTCTTCTGTTTTATGAGCAAAGCGCTGAGAATCCGCTTGTTAGGAGCGCTAAACGTTATTTTGCCGCTGCCGTGCGGAGCGGTAGGGAAACACATCTCAAACACGGAACCGAGTCCGGCTACCGAACCGAGCAGAATTCTGATGACATCACACCGGTGCACGAAGGTGCGGGTTCCAACCCACAGGAGAGGAGGGACAGAGGAGGTAAACAGCGAGTGGATCACAGGGACTGAACTGATGTTTTTGAGCAAAACTGCGATAAAAATGGTTGTTTGTCCTCATTATCAAGTGTACACCCCCACGGTTTAGACGCGGCGCTCATGCAGGTGTCTCTTTCTGCTCCGACGCTGCTACATGCAGTATTTTTAATTTATTAAGCCTATAATGTATTTTTACTAAGTAACGGAAATGATTTAAAATGTAGCGAATTACACTTCTGTTTTAAAAACATACTCAAGTAAAAGTAAAAGTACAGATTTTAAAAATGACTTAAAAAGTATAAATACACATAAAAGCTACTCAGTTACAGTACGTGAGTAAATGTAATTCGTTACTTTCCACCTCTGGGTCCGGGTCATGAGACAGCAGCTCCAGCAGAGAGGCCCCAACGGTCCTCTACCCAGCAAAATCCACCAGCTGCACTGGTGGGACCCCAAGGCCTGTGTGGAGATGCATGTCCTGGGTTGACCGTGGGCCTCCTGCCTAAAACACCTCCCCAGGGAGGCGTACACCTCAGCTGGTTCCTCTCAACGTGGAGGAACAGCGACTCTGCAAAGACGAACGTCCCGTCACTTTTCCGAGTGCTCGGGAGAAATCCTGCTGTCTCGTTTTTATCGTCCTCTTCTGTTTTGATGAGCCTTTTCTTAACTTCTCATGGAAGATCTTTTACACCACGCTAAAATCAAAAAGACCACCTTGTTGACCTTCTTCTGTTTGGTGCAGGATGACCAGGTGGTTCTGCAGTGCACCGCCTCCATTCTGAAGGAGCAGCAGATCAAACTGTGCCTGTCCTGCGAGGGCTTCGGAAACCGTCTCTGCTTCCTGGAAACGACGTCCAACGCTCAGGTGAGACGCCGCTCCACATCTCTGTGTGACCCGAAGGCCAGCCCGCCTCCATCGCCCTCCTTTCATCCCACATTCCTGTAATCCGTCTGTAGAATGTGCCGCCTGACCTGGCCATCTGCTCGTTCGTCCTGGAGCAGTCGCTGTCGGTCCGAGCTCTGGTGGAGATGCTGGCCAACACGGTGGAGATGACGGAGGTAAAAAAACAAGACATCAGCTTTCGTTGTTAAAGCACTCTGGTTGTAATATGTCTAAAATATAATATTTACCAATTTTCACAGTTTTTATTTGTAGAACATGAAAAAATTCCTCCTTCCAAGCTCACGAATGTCAAATCTGTGTTGCTGCTGCGAGAACTGGAGAAGACTAAAGAGGAGTTGTTAAAATGTCCAGACCCGCTTGGTCACCGTCCGTCTGATAAAAGTGTGATTTTTCTGTACTGATGTATTATTTTGTTTCCTCGGTTCTGACTGAATATAAGCTCCACTGCTTCCTTTAACTTTTTACACCTGCTTCTTCCCTTTTTTGTTGCTTCCTGCCAAGCAGGCGGTCGATTTGGACAAGTGGGTATGTTTGTTTTTGATTCCTGTGTGTCCCGACCGAGCCGACACCAGTCCTCGTTCCTGTCCTGTTCTGTTTACTGAAATGATGTTGTCTCATCCGTTCATGTCGGTGGTCGTTTCCTACATCTGTGTGTGATTTTCATCTTATTAGATTATATTCAAGCTGGAATGAGTAGTTTGGGTTAAGTGGTGCAGATTAGATTAGTGTTGTTTTCACTTCTTGGGCGGTTAGCACAAACAGACACAGAATCAGTCAGTATTTTAGTTTTTATTTCTATGAGACAGAATAAATAAAACTTCTTCAGTTTGAATCTATAAACTGTTTTAGTACTGAGACTCGTTGGAGCTCGCTCCTGATGGAGACGAGAAGAAGGACGGTTGGAATACCGTGGCGTCCAGCCCGGAGGATTGTCCCCCCAGCTTTGTCAGGGATGGACGGGGAAACTGGACACCCTCTGAGTTCTGGATGGGCTGGACCCCCTCCAGCACCTGTCCTGACAAAGCCCAGTGCTAATGCACGCCAGAGTTAATAGTTCCATGCCGACACTTGACATTCCCGACCCGGATTCATCCCAGTGGATTAAAGGCCTGTAACCTCACAGTGTTGCTGGATGTTTGGCTTAATCCGTCTGCAGCTGATCCAATAACTGATTTTACTTTTATTTTTTTTGTCTTTGATGTGTTTTTACTGACTGTTGAGAAAAGTTAGGACGCTAAACGTTATTTCTGTTTGTCAGTATTTAACGTAATCATCTTTTTAAAAATACTGATTAGCAGCAAAGTTTTTTCAGACTTTATATACATATATATGTATTTATATATATATATATATATATGTATTTATATATACATATATATATATATATATATATATATATATATATATATATATATATATATATATATATACATATATATGTGTATATACATATACATATATATATACATATATATGTGTATATACATATACATATATATATATACATATATATATATACATATATACATATATATATATGTATATATATATATATATATATATATAAATATATATATATATATATATAAAAATATATGCGTATACGTATAGTATAGTATGTTAGAAACGTGCAGTTCTAGGAACAGCTAAGTTACAGCTCAGAGCCCTCAAACACCCGGGCCTCTGCTAGAGGACCCGAGCTTGGGAGGATGAGACCACCCATGGAGGGTGAGATGGGAATTAAAATATATATATAAAGATAAACTTAAATAGTTAGAAGCTGATCTTAATATAAACGTGTGAAAAGCTGAGAGATCTCCTGTCAAAGGTCTGAGTTTGTTGATCGATGATTAATCTTCGTAATGTTTGAAGAACCTTAGCAGGACCAGTAGTGGATGATTCCTGATGTAAGAGATGTTCACGTCGCTGCAGCTCATGTTTTCATCTTTTCTTCTCCAGTCGTCCCAAGGTGGAGGTCATCGAACTTTACTGTACGGTCACGCCATCCTTCTGAGACACCACCACTCAGGCATGGTGAGACCCGCTTAACCGGTTTAAAAGCACGTGGACGTGAGCTGGAGTGGAAGGGTTAGGTTTAAACCTCAGCATCTTCTCCCCAGTACCTGAGCTGCCTGACGACATCTCGATCCCTCACCGACAAGCTGGCCTTCGACGTGGGCTTGCAAGAAGATGCCACAGGTAGCGACCAACGCCGCAAAAGCTCAGATTGTAGTCTGAGTTTTACGTTTTTCTGTTGCATTCAGAAGATCTCTGACATAAATGGGAACTCTGTCTGTATTTCCTCATGTTGATGCGACTGAATGCTGCTGAGGAGCAGCTTGCTCCTCAGGGGCAGGTAAAATAGCCGCTTGATCTTGACTTTGTCCCAGGTGAGGCCTGTTGGTGGACCATTCATCCAGCCTCCAAGCAGAGGTCAGAAGGTGAGAAGGTCCGGGTTGGAGACGACTTGATCCTTGTCAGCGTGTCATCTGAAAGATACCTGGTGAGGCTCGTTGTTGTGCGTCCTGTCTGCTCAGAGACGTGATCCGGAGACTAAACTCCGTGTCTTCCTGTCCTCAGCACCTGTCCTATGCCAGTGGAGACCTGATGGTGGATGCCTCCTTCATGCAGACGCTCTGGAACATGAACCCCATCAGTTCAGGATGTGAACTGGCTGAAGGTAAAAAACCAGCAAACACAAAATCAACAGCCAGTAGAAGGCTTCCTGAACAGCCTTTGTTTAGAGAAATAGTTCTGAACGCAGCTGAGATCCAAGAGCGGTGCCTTCGTACGACAGCGCCAGAATTTATCAGCAGTTTTAAAACGATTGTTATATTAAACCTTCACAGGTTTAGATGCTGTCGTTATTTCAGCCGGAGGAATTCCTGTTGCACCACCAGTGCCACATTTAGCTGCTGCTGGGAATATTTACACCTGAAAACAACCACAGAATTCCTTATAAATAATAAAAAAGAATCCTTCCTAGTAACCAGAGAGCACAGGAGGGGGGCCCGACGAGGCGCACCAGGTGCCGAATGACAGTCAGCCGGAGGATGATTATAAGGGCCGGCGTTGCAGCAGGAAAGGGAGAGAAGCAGCCGACGTGAGGAGCCCGTGTAGCTCAGCCTGCTGAGGAGCGTTGCAACAACGCCATGCCCTCAACGGGTTAATGAAGTTGTGTGAGCAAGCAGAAACTGTGTTGGGGAGTGTGTTTGTGCGTGCGTGCGTGCGTGTGTGTGTGCGTGCGTGCATGCGTGTGTGTGTGTGTGTGCGCGCCCCAGAGTAGTTGGGACTGCTACAGACAAGTTAGAGGCCACTAAGTTCCTTGTAATGAACACCAGTGTGTGTGTGTGTGTGTGTGTGCGTGCGTTTTCCTCTCAGGGTATCTGACGGGAGGTCACGTCCTCCGGCTCTTCCACGGCCACATGGACGAGTGTCTGGCCATCCCGACTCCGGAGGAGGGAGAAGAAAAGCGTAGGTGAGAAGGAACAGCAGCGAGTGGTTGTGACGAACAACGCTCGGTTCTGATCCGACGCCGTTTGACCGTGTGTGTTCACTGCAGGATGGCCCACTACGAAGGCGGCGCTGTGTGCAGCCAGGCCCGGTCCCTGTGGAGGCTGGAGCCGCTCAGAATCAGGTGACGCCATCAGAAACACGCCTGAAACCACTTCCGTGTCGGGTCTGAAAGGTCGTGTGAACGTGTGAATTTGTCTTTCGGTGTCTGCAGTTGGAGCGGCAGCCACATGAAATGGGGTCAGTCCTTCCGTATTCGCCACATCACGACGGGTCGGTACCTGTGTCTCGATGACGATAAGGTCCTGATGGTGGTCGACCCGGAGAAGGCCAACACCAAGCTGTCTGCATTCTGCTTCCGAGTCTCAAAGGTCAGAGGCAACACGAACAACCTCTCCGGACATTCGGGCGTGCCGCGCCCCTCGCTGACGTCCTGTTTTCCTCCCTGAGCAGGAGAAGGTGGACGTGGCGCAGAAGCGGGATGTTGAAGGGATGGGCATTCCTGAGATAAAGTACGGAGAGTCCATGTGTTTTGTCCAGCATGTGTCCACGGGGCTGTGGCTGACGTATGCCGCTCTGGACGCTAAGGCCGCTCGGTTAGGGATGATGAAGAGAAGGGTGAGCAACTCCTCAGCTGCTTCTGAAATTCGTTTTGGAGGAAAATCCCACCACAGGAAACTATGGTTGGAGGAATAAAAACTAAAGGAACCTGACAGCCGACACGGGAATGTTGGGAGTTTTAAACATTTGTTTAATCTGTGTGTTCAGGTGATTCTGCATCAGGAGGGTCACATGGACGACGCCCTCACAGTGTCCCGCTCCCAAAGCGAGGAATCTCAGGCTGCTCGGATGATTTACAGCACCACAGGTCTCTTCAGGCAGTTCATCAAGTACGTGGGTCTCTACTAAACAGGTTTGTGGTGGGAACACAAGGAAATCCCTCCTCCCAGCTACGGGATTCTTCCCTCTCTTTCCCAGGCGACTGGACTCTCTGAGCGGGAAGAACAAGTCTCCAGGTTCCGTGTCTCTTCCTCTGGATGGAGTCATCCTCTCCCTTCAGGATCTCATCTTCTACTTCCGTCCACCGGAGGAGGAACTGGAGCACGAGGAGAAACAGACCAAACTCCGCTCTCTTCGCAACCGGCAGAATCTCTTCCAGGAGGAGGTAAAATAAAAGGTCACAAACTCACCATTTCTCACCGACGTTTCACCAGTTCGGAAACCCAAAAGGGAAGCTTTTGAATCCAGACGGACGGTTCGGAGCATCAAACTAAGGTTTCATTAGTAGAGAGCTGTTAGAGACACGATGGGACTAGTCATCAGCTGTCAGAGACACGACAGGACCTGTGATCAGCTGTTAGAGACACGAAGGGACCAGTGATCAGCTGTTAGAGACACGACGGGACCAGTGATCAGCTGTTAGAGACACGAAGGGACTAGTGATCAGCTGTTAGAGACACGACGGGACCAGTGATCAGCTGTTAGTGACATGACGGGACTAGTGATCAGCTGTTAGAGACACGATGGGACCAGTGATCAGCTGTTAGAGACACAACAGGACCCGTGATTCACTGTTAGAGACACGACGGGACCAGTGATCAGCTGTTAGAGACACGATGGGACCAGTGATCAGCTGTTAGTGACACGAAGGGACCAGTGATTCACTGTTAGAGACACGACGGGACCAGTGATCAGCTGTTAGAGACACGAAGGGACCAGTGATCAGCTGTTAGAGACACAATGGGACCAGTGATCAGCTGTTAGAGACACGACGGGACCAGTGATTCACTGTTAGAGACACGACGGGACTAGTGATCAGCTGTTAGAGACATGATGGGACCAGTGATCAGCTGTTAGAGACACGATGGGACCAGTGATTCACTGTTAGAGACACGAGGGGACTAGTGATCAGCTGTTAGAGACACGATGGGACCAGTGATCAGCTGTTAGTGACACGAAGGGACCAGTGATTCACTGTTAGAGACACGACGGGACCAGTGATCAGCTGTTAGAGACACGAAGGGACCAGTGATTCACTGTTAGAGACACGACGGGACCAGTGATCAGCTGTTAGAGACACAATGGGACCAGTGATCAGCTGTTAGAGGCACGACGGGACCAGTGATTCACTGTTAGAGACACGACGGGACTAGTGATCAGCTGTTAGAGACACGATGGGACCAGTGATCAGCTGTTAGAGACACGATGGGACCAGTGATTCACTGTTAGAGACACGACGGGACTAGTGATCAGCTGTTAGAGACACGATGGGACCAGTGATCAGCTGTTAGAGACACGACAGGACCCGTGATCAGCTGTTAGAGACACGAAGGGACCAGTGATCAGCTGTTAGAGACACGAAGGGACCAGTGATCAGCTGTTGGAGACACGAAGGGACCAGTGATCAGCTGTTAGTGACACGAAGGGACTAGTGATCAGCTGTTAGAGACATGACGGGACTAGTGATCAGCTGTTAGAGACACGATGGGACCAGTGATCAGCTGTTAGAGACACGACAGGACCCGTGATCAGCTGTTAGAGACACGATGGGACCAGTGATCAGCTGTTAGTGACACGAAGGGACCAGTGATTCACTGTTAGAGACACGACGGGACTAGTGATCAGCTGTTAAAGACACGATGGGACCAGTGATTCACTGTTAGAGACACGACGGGACTAGTGATCAGCTGTTAGAGACACGATGGGACTAGTGATCAGCTGTTAGAGACACGACAGGACCGGTGATCAGCTGTTAGAGACACGAAGGGACCAGTGATTCACTGTTAGAGACACGACGGGACTAGTGATCAGCTGTTAGAGACACGATGGGACTAGTGATCAGCTGTTAGAGACACGACGGGACTAGTGATCAGCTGTTAGAGACACAAAGGGACCAGTGATCAGCTGTTAGAGACACAATGGGACCAGTGATCAGCTGTTAGTGACACGAAGGGACCAGTGATTCACTGTTAGAGACACGACGGGACTAGTGATCAGCTGTTAGAGACACGATGGGACTAGTGATCAGCTGTTAGAGACACGACGGGACTAGTGATCAGCTGTTAGAGACACAAAGGGACCAGTGATCAGCTGTTAGAGACACAATGGGACCAGTGATCAGCTGTTAGTGACACGAAGGGACCAGTGATTCACTGTTAGAGACACGACGGGACTAGTGATCAGCTGTTAAAGACACGATGGGACCAGTGATTCACTGTTAGAGACACGACGGGACTAGTGATCAGCTGTTAGAGACACGATGGGACTAGTGATCAGCTGTTAGAGACACGACAGGACCGGTGATCAGCTGTTAGAGACACGACAGGACCCGTGATCAGCTGTTAGAGACACGAAGGGACCAGTGATCAGCTGTTGGAGACACGAAGGGACCAGTGATCAGCTGTTAGTGACACGAAGGGACTAGTGATCAGCTGTTAGAGACATGACGGGACTAGTGATCAGCTGTTAGAGACACGATGGGACCAGTGATCAGCTGTTAGAGACACGACAGGACCCGTGAACAGCTGTTAGAGACACGATGGGACCAGTGATCAGCTGTTAGTGACACGAAGGGACCAGTGATTCACTGTTAGAGACACGACGGGACTAGTGATCAGCTGTTAGAGACACAATGGGATCAGTGATCAGCTGTTAGTGACACGAAGGGACCAGTGATTCACTGTTAGAGACACGACGGGACTAGTGATCAGCTGTAAGAGACACGACGGGACTAGTGATCAGCTGTTAGAGACACAAAGGGACCAGTGATCAGCTGTTAGAGACACGATGGGACCAGTGATCAGCTGTTAGTGACACGAAGGGACCAGTGATTCACTGTTAGAGACACGACGGGACTAGTGATCAGCTGTTAGAGACACGACGGGACTAGTGATCAGCTGTTAGAGACACGAAGGGACCAGTGATCAGCTGTTAGAGACACAATGGGACCAGTGATCAGCTGTTAGAGACACGACGGGACCTGTGATCAGCTGTTAGTGACACGAAGGGACCAGTGATTCACTGTTAGAGACACGACGGGACCTGTGTCAGAGCTGTTAGAGACACGATGGGACTAGTCATCAGCTGTCAGAGACACCATGCAACTAGTGATCAGGTGTCAAAGACACGACGGGACCCGTGATCAGCTGTTAGTGACACGAAGGGACCAGTGATTCACTGTTAGAGACACGACGGGACTAGTGATCAGCTGTTAGAGACACGAAGGGACCAGTGATCAGCTGTTAGAGACACAATGGGACCAGTGGTCAGCTGTTAGAGACACGACGGGACCAGTGATCAGCTGTTAGAGACTCGACAGGACCCGTGATCAGCTGTTAGAGACACGACAGGACCCATGATCAGCTGTTAGAGACACGACAGGACCCGTGATCAGCTGTTAGTGACACGAAGGGACCAGTGATCAGCTGTTGGAGACACGAAGGGACCAGTGATCAGCTGTTAGTGACACGAAGGGACTAGTGATCAGCTGTTAGAGACATGACGGGACTAGTGATCAGCTGTTAGAGACACAATGGGACCAGTGATCAGCTGTTAGTGACACGAAGGGACCAGTGATTCCCTGTTAGAGACACGACGGGACAAGTGATCAGCTGTTAGAGACACGAAGGGACCAGTGATCAGCTGTTAGAGACACGACAGGACCCGTGATCAGCTGTTAGAGACACGACAGGACTAGTGATCAGCTGTTAGAGACACGAAGGGACCAGTGATTCACTGTTAGAGACACGACGGGACTAGTGATCAGCTGTTAGAGACACGAAGGGACCAGTGATTAGCTGTTAGAGACACAATGGGACCAGTGATCAGCTGTTAGAGACACGACAGGACCAGTGATCAGCTGTTAGAGACACGACAGGACCCGTGATCAGCTGTTAGAGACACGAAGGAACCAGTGATTCACTGTTAGAGACACAACGGGACTAGTGATCAGCTGTTAGAGACACGAAGGGACCAGTGATCAGCTGTTAGAGACACAATGGGACCAGTGATCAGCTGTTAGAGACACGATGGGACCAGTGATCAGCTGTTAGAGACACGACAGGACCCGTGATCAGCTGTTAGAGACACGATGGGACCAGTGATCAGCTGTTAGTGACACGAAGGGACCAGTGATTCACTGTTAGAGACACGATGGGACTAGTGATCAGCTGTTAGAGACACGACGGGACTAGTGATCAGCTGTTAGAGACACGAAGGGACCAGTGATCAGCTGTTAGAGACACAATGGGACCAGTGATCAGCTGTTAGAGACACGACGGGACCTGTGATCAGCTGTTAGTGACACGAAGGGACCAGTGATTAACTGTTAGAGACACGACGGGACCTGTGTCAGAGCTGTTAGAGACACGATGGGACTAGTCATCAGCTGTCAGAGACACCATGGAACTAGTGATCAGGTGTCAAAGACACGACGGGACCCGTGATCAGCTGTTAGTGACACGAAGGGACCAGTGATTCACTGTTAGAGACACGACGGGACTAGTGATCAGCTGTTAGAGACACGAAGGGACCAGTGATCAGCTGTTAGAGACACGATGGGATCAGTGGTCAGCTGTTAGAGACACGACGGGACCAGTGATCAGCTGTTAGAGACACGACAGGACCCGCGATCAGTTGTTAGAGACACGACAGGACCCATGATCAGCTGTTAGAGACACGACAGGTCCCGTGATCAGCTGTTAGAGACACGAAGGGACCAGTGATCAGCTGTTGGAGACACGAAGGGACCAGTGATCAGCTGTTAGTGACACGAAGGGACTAGTGATCAGCTGTTAGAGACATGACGGGACTAGTGATCAGCTGTTAGAGACACGATGGGACCAGTGATCAGCTATTAGAGAAACGACAGGACCCGTGATCAGCTGTTAGAGACACAATTGGACCAGTGATCAGCTGTTAGTGACACGAAGGGACCAGTGATTCACTGTTAGAGACACGACGGGACTAGTGATCAGCTGTTAGAGACACGAAGGGACCAGTGATCAGCTGTTAGAGACACAATGGGACCCGTGATCAGCTGTTAGAGACACGACAGGACCCATGATCAGCTGTTAGAGACGCGACAGGACCCGTGATCAGCTGTTAGTGACACAAAGGGACCAGTGATCAGCTGTTGGAGACACGAAGGGACCAGTGATCAGCTGTTAGTGACACGAAGGGACTAGTGATCAGCTGTTAGAGACACGAAGGGACCAGTGATCAGCTGTTAGAGACACGACAGGACCCGTGATCAGCTGTTAGCGACACGATGGGACCCGTGATCAGCTGTTAA